CTGGGCTCCAATTCCCTGGGTGGGCGCTCTGGCGATTAATCACTAGCGTGACTAGCATGTCGGATATATCGGCATTGGCCTTATGAATCATGACAAATTGTTAGTTTATCCATTGAAAAATGCTCACAGACTGCTGCATTTAAGTATACAGCGACAGGAGATGTGTTCCATGGGGGAGCAGAGGCCAGCGGCGTGCAGTACATCGACAGCAATCGCTAGTCCCTGACCTTTGACAACAATATTTCGACAATTCGCCTGCATTTCATCTTAGCTTCATAACAAAAATCAACCCGAATTAAGTCATACAACGTATGCAGCGGCACCCCGCATAAAATGGAACACGGACTGCCCACTGATGCAGCAACTTATGTCCTTTCTTTTGGGCGAGGTAGACCACATCCCCCGCTGCTACCGAATCGCGAGGACTATGTTGTCGACTTTGACGGACCAGATGACCCAGCCTTTCCTCAGAACTGGCCGATGCGCGTAAGGTAGGACAGCCCCTTGTCCAACCTCTCCGCGCTGCAACTGACAGACCGTATTCCCTGACTATTAAGGCTCTACATCAGTGTTATCCTTGCATTCACCTGCATCAGCTCGACCTTTGACTCCGCCGTTTTTAGCCCGTCTATGAGCGCGGTGGCCAAGGAATTCGATGTCAGTATCGAAGTGGCGGCTTTAGCGAGCTCAGTCTACATTGCGGGTTATGCGTTTGGCCCTCTAATTTGGGCTCCTCTGTCTGAGCGCCACGGCCGCCGACTCCCTATCATCGTGGCTATGCTGGGCTTCGGTATCTTTAATACGGCTGTTGCTGTGTCCAAAGACCTTCAGACTTTGATAATTTGTCGCTTCTTCTGTGGTGTATTTGGTAGCAGCCCGCTCATCAATGTTGCGGCTATCTTCGCTGACATGTATGACAATCGGACACGTGGGATCGCTATTGCCCTATTTGCTAATACTGTCTTCCTGGGCCCTCTGGTTGCATCCTGTGTTGGCGGGTTCATTAACAAGTCATATCTTGGCTGGAGATGGACTGCTTATATACCCTCATTCATGGGATACACAACGTGTTTGCTCAATCTGCTCTTCCTCAGGGAAACTTATGCGCCGGCAATTCTAACTTCAAAGGCAACCAGAATGCGTCAAATCACTGGAAATTGGGGGATCCATTCCAGACAGGAGCAGATCGAACTTAACCTACATGATCTGGTCATTAACAATCTGGGCCGGCCCCTGCAAATGCTTTTCAAAGAGCCGCTGATTATGGCTGTCACAGTCTACCTCAGCTTTGTTTATGGCTTACTCTACTGCTTTCTATCCGCTTACAGTAGCATCTTCCAAGGCGTCTATGCCATGTCTGCCGGTGTCAGCGGGCTTCCGATGCTGTCCAACGTCGTGGGTCTGCTCGGCGCAACAGCTTACATGATTTACGTGAATAAGAACTACAACACCAAGCTAAAGGCCAACAACAATATCCCCATTCCGGAGTGGCGACTGCCGCCAGTGATTGTGGGCGGCGTCCTCTTTTCCGCGGGGCTTTTCTGGCTCGGCTGGACTGGATTCACGCGCACCATTCATTGGATTGTCCCAACACTGAGCGGCCTCTTCACAGGAGCCGGTTTGCTCATGATCTTCATTCAGCTGTTTAACTACCTCATTGATACATATCTCGCTTAGTGAGTACCATCCAAATCCTCCATGATTTGGATAGCTTTCTCCCTTTCTCTTTTGTCGGTGACCCTCTGACCCGCTACAGCGCTGCCTCTGCGTTAGCAGCAAACACCTTCTGCCGCTCGCTCGTGGCAGCAGGGTTTCCGCTCTTTTCACGGCAGATGTTTGGCAACATGGGTATCCAGTGGGCTGGCACGCTGTTGGGCTGTTTGGCTGTGGCCTTGGTACCAATACCTCTGGCATTTCTGCGTTATGGCAAGCGTCTGCGGTTAAGAAGTCAGTTTGCCCCAGTACTGGACAAGGAGTAGTAAGCTAAGGCCATGTGTATGAGGTTGTGGTCTGAGGCATCAAGCAGGATTCACTTTGAAGCCCCGGAAGGAGGAGAACCAACCTTAAAACTGTGGAAGAATCTGGGGGCATGCTCCATCCATGGTTTGGTACCAAGCAGGTTGTGCAAAAGCTGGCTTGGCTCTATTGAATATAAATGTCATCCATTATCCCTGTAATAGTATTTATAGTTATCAAAACAAAGCTTTACAGCCTATTAACAAGAGAACTCTACCATTGTCATCGAATACATTTGCTTTCTCTTTCGCAAACCAAAGGGCTGTGCATACATGCGAACTATCGAATCCAATATTAGCAGCAGTGCAAGAGCATGCCCATGGGAATGAAAAGGCACCGGGTGTTACAAAAGGACATCTTTGCATGTCAGGAATAGGTTAAACGCTCGAAGAATCCCACCTCCTATCATTGCCACCCGATTCCTAAGCGGCGTGTACGGCTATAATGCAGAAGGTGAAGTGGATAACCCGGAAATCGGCAAGTTATCGAAGCCGCGCCGATGTGACTGGGCCGCATCTTTCACCTTCACCCGGGATAGATTAAGCCAGCCCGACTCCCCAATCAGGGAGCTTATCGGAGAGCAAGCAAAGGAAACACACCGCATCTCATTTCTGGTAAATGGCCCCTCTGTGGCCGGCATCACGACAGCTGAATCAAATAAGCGCATTTCCACCTGCGGGTCTTTCCGAAAGCAGAGAGACCCAGTGGCACTCTAGAGATCAGTTGAACAGAAGGACCCGTGTGTAGTGACTGCGGAGATCCCGAGATCTGCAGTTCCGTGATGCTCGTGTCGAGTCCGAGGATATGTACTTTGTACTTGTTGAGAAATGTGGGCGGGCATATTGATGGTCTTGCCATTGAGAAGTCGTCTCTTTACATAATGGTTATATTGATACTGAATCCGGACCTACCTCCGCTTATACCTCTTCCCATGACTCACAAGCAGATATTTCGCGAAGAACTCCTCCGCGAAATCATCAAAGGGCTCATACGTAGCCCCAAGTCGATACGCAGCCGCAATACCAGATATACAAGCTATCTCGTGCATATTCTGCCCGCTGTCAGTAGCTGGTACACTCAAGTATGGAAAGAGCAATAACTTACCACCATGGTCCAACTCCCCGCATACAATGTCCGATTCTTCCCATTAATGAACATCATCCCCGGCACCACACGTATATAATGCTGCCAATTATGCCCGAACTGATGCCACCATTTCTTCGCAATAATCTTGTCCTTGTCGATACTGTCCCACGTCCATAGATCCGACTCCTGTTTGTTCAGAAATATCGTCTGATACACATGGCGATCGGGCTCCAGAGATAGCGCTCCCTCCCCCAATGCCTCCCGGAACTGATGCTGATAATTCGAACAATCGAACCCCATCTCGATCTTCTGCGGATCCTGCTCATAGGAATGGGTATAGTACATAGGCGCGAATCCATCCGACCCGTCTTTCCGACAGCGCGGCGTCTGCTTTGCAAACGAGATCTGCTCGTTGCGCGCTTCGCTAGACGCCTTCCCACACAAATCACTCTTATACCTCGTTTCGAAGATACTATTGAAATAGTCCGCATCGCTATGCGTGACCGTAACATCGTCGTAAAACCTCACACCCCCGAGAACATACTTCTCCCGCCAGGTAGCATGCCTACCGAGCAACTTTTTCGCCTCATCAGCCGGCACACACAGCACAAGCTCATCAAAATGTTCATCATGCATCACTCCCTCCCACCTACGCTCCTCCCCTTCCCCCCTACCATCACTCCTATCCCAAACCCTCAAATCCACTCCCCTCTTACTATCCCTCCCCAAAATCTCCACCTCCGTCCTCAACCTCACCCTCACCCCCTTATTCTCCCCCAAATCCCCCACCCAATCCCTATAAAACGCGCCCAACTCCGGAAATGTATACATCTCCGGCCGATTGGGCAACAGCATATCCGGATCAAAATCCCACAACCGCATCTGCGGATCATCAAACAACCGTTCCAGCAACACGCTCGACACATTCGGCGTCTGGTTCCCCGTGCCCAAGAACAGCGCAATCAGCGGAAGCACCATCTTACTCCCGAACTCCCGACTAAACCTGAACAGCCGTAGAACAATCTTAATAGGTAATATACCCAGGAATGGCATCAACCGCTTAATCCACTTCAACACGCGGCCGAGTTTTTCGATCTCGGCGGTGTATCGGTCGACGAGGGGGCTGGGGAACATGTTGGTGAAGAAGCTGTCGGGGCCCTTGCCGAAGGATACTTGGAGTTGCACCGGCTGGGGCTCGTATCCGTATCGGCGGAAGAAGTTGAATGTATGGCGAAATATGGATGAGCCGCCTTGTACGCCGTCGTTCAGCCAGGTCGCGCCGTGGTTGGCGGGGAGGGGAATGGAGGTCGCTTGGCCGCCGGCGTGTGTGGCGGAGTCGAAGAGGTGGATTTCGAATTTGTCGGGGTGTTGGGATAGGGTGGAGGCGCAGGACTAAGTGGTGGTTTTGGTAGTTAGTTGGTGGTTGGGTTTGCGATAGGTTGGGGATGGGAGGGGAGGGATTTACCATGCCTGCTGCTCCGGCGCCTATGATGGCGACCTTCTTTCGAGGAGAGTCTGATGCCATGGTTGACTCGGGTTGTTACTATTCATGTAGAAGAGAGATTGCAGTTCGAGGAGTTGTGTTGTTGTCTATTGAAGAAACTGATATACTAATCATGACGTCAGGTGGATTTCCGCTTTGGGTAATCTGTATACTTGGCATGTGGAGGAAGCGGTACAGAACTATTCTGTGTGCTATTGTATCACAATAACACGCCATGAAGTAGCCGTACAACATGTTTGAGAAGCCAAATAGGAAAAATACTGAAGCTAGTCCGAGGTGAAGCAGTATAAGGTAGAAGTAATACTGAGACTAGACTAAATTAGCGCTGTAGTAATGCTAGAGTACAGTCAAAAGGAGCGTGAAACACGATCAATGGACGTGTATGCTGGATCACCTACTGACAGACAAATGATGAGGCCACTGTAGGATCTCCTTCTACATACTGTGCAATAGCAGGATAGGGACAGAGAATCCTTGACATCCGACCATTCTTAGATACAGCTCGCAGATACTCAGGAGCTACACCACCTTCAACCCATGCCATCAATGACTCCATCAAACCAGTTGGAGCAAGCCCTTTCCCATGACCGCAGTGTTCAACTCCTGGCGCCTCAAAGTACAGATAAAAGTCTTGGACTGATGGATCACGCAATTGGACCCTTCTGTAGTAGTCCACAGAACCATTTGGGGGAACCTGCCAATCAGCTAAGCCATGCCAATGAATAATCTTCCCCCCTCTATCCTTGAAGTCATAGAGATCAGGATTGTTGGCATCAGTAATTGCTTTGTATCCGGCGACGGATTGGTGAAAGAGGGACTCTAAATCGGCTTGATCCATATCAACCAAGTCTAAATCAGGATCTTGAGCAACAAAAAGTTGCAGCCAGTCCACGCTCAAGTAATCGGGCAAAGAATGACATCGGTGATTCCCAATATCATCGGTGGAGGTGCAGATCGTATAGTTCCATGGCGTACCCTGGTTGAAACCGTACCACAAAGGGGTCCCATCCTCAGCAGTTAGACCTGCCCAGTATGACTCTGCAAGTAATGCCACTTCCGCAGTAATTATACTAGGGATACATTCACACCAAACCTCCATGCCTATGAGACTGAGAGGATTAAAGTTGCAAAGCGACGGCACAGCAATGATCCCATCTATAACACCGTCCTGACCGTCGCAGGAAGCGACTGCTGCATCTGTAATCTTTTCCATGACGCAGGGGGAGGGGTAGACCCCTAGCTGATTCATGACGAACGTTGGCCAGTAGTTTGCAGGGACGAATTGCGCCCAATTTATAGTTGGCGCCCCCGCTAATATGCCGTCGAATGCATCAGGCCATCGTTGGGCGATCTCCAGTCCCTGCCGCCCACCAGTCGAGCAGCCATTCCAGTAGGAGTAGGCGGGTGGTAAACCATAGATCTGCTGTATGACATACTTAGCGAGGAGCGACAGCTCGTTGAGGCAGGTTGAGAAGAAATCAATCAGTTGAGCGAAATTCACGTGGCCCGAGGCATCTTCAAGAGCCCATGATTCTGCTGACCAAGGGTTCCTGTCGTGCCCCATGTCGGACCCGGCAGCTGCAAATCCTTGATAGACAGGCAGAGCTAGCGTGCCATAGTCCAAAAGCCCTGCCCATCCTCCTCCCCCAACTGCCTGGAGCCGGTTGTTCCATCCAGACAATGGGACCCAAACATGCACATGAATCAAGTCATCCCAGCCCGGATGCGTATAGGTAACGGTGACATTCCAGAAGCTGATATTCACGGTGTGGGACTGTATAGGATTCACTTGCACGCCCGTAATTGTGTAGTCCCGAAGTGGAAATGCGGTAATAGAAAGTATTTTGAGCCCAGGAATAACCGGCTTAGGTATATGGTAGCCATTCGCAAAATGAGCGTAGAAGGTTGAGAGGATAGTGGCCAAAAGCGCCAATGCTTGAATTGCTTTGAGCAGCATTTAGTGTTAACAGAATGTTACAAATAACTTAGAAAGTAGATGAGTGCAGAAAATTCGTAGAACCAGTTGAGTCTTTCGCAATGCTTGTGGCATTTTGAGATCCGGAACGGCATCTGGTGGCGAAGCTGGCTGCAGTTGCGAAGACGATAGTGAAGGAAAGAGCGAGGCGTGAGCGCAGCACTGCTTGCACCGGGTTGCCAGTGGCTGCTGGGAAGCAGCTGCGCTATACTTACATTGTTTAATGGTTTATTACTTTACCTTTCAATTACGAATCGGATATGTAGCTGGGATGCTTAAGGCTCTGACAAGGTTTGGGGGGCGATATACTAGTAGCACAAAGGAAGTAAATCCATTCTGTCAATTAAAATCTAGCTAGCGGTTTGTAAGATTTTCGATCTTCCGGCGAATCATTCCACGATTACTGCGAAATTTTCTTGCAGTCTTGCATGATTCCAGGGCTGCACTTTCATGTGTCTGCTTAAATGCAAGGCTCTCATATGCAGTGGGATATTGTCACGGCCAGGAACACCCGGGGCCGGAGACTTGTCTCCCACATCTCCTTCACTCCTGGCTCGTTTGGTGCCGGCTGCATACACTCGAGTCAGCTGGCTCTCGGCGCTCTGGTCCCCGCTCAACAGCGGTAAGACCGTGATATGGTCTACGGTGAGAACCACATTGACGAACGCCTCGGACGGCCATCCCATCGGATAATCTTCTTCTACCTCCACGACGACGTCTTCCGAGGTTACCGGTAGGGCTCCGCTAACAGCCAGGGACGACTGGGTTGCCGAAGAAGACGACAGCGGTTCCGGTCTCTTCGTTACTCGTGGCTGGGCCTGCAGGTTACTCCCACCGGCTGTCATAGTCGTGGGTCCTGCGGCCGCCGGTTGTTGAGGTTGGGGTACCGATCCCTGGGTTCCAAATTTAGCTTCTGTTCTTTCTAGCATCATCATACATCAATATAAGCCTCGTTCTAGTTGTTTGATCAGCCATACTGCTTTGTTTGACTCTACGGACTCTATATCTCTCAATATTAACGGGTGGTAGGATATTAGCTTACAGCCATCAAGTCTAACTCTCCCTAGAGTCATATCCTCAACTCAGTGCCACTAGTGGTGCCCTTCTGCCATTCCATTACCACCCCAACCCTGGGATTAACAGCTAAGAGCTCGTCAATGTTTCTATGTTACGCCGCATTTTATCCCTATTACTCCGAAGTCTTTTCGCAGTACTGAACCCTTCCCGTGCTGCAGATTCATGTCTCTTTTTACTTGAGAGATCATCATACGCAGTGGGATATTTATGATCAAACCCGCTGCGGGCAGCCACTACACTAGGTGGACTGTTAGCAAGTATAGAGCTCTTAATGTAAATCTGGTTCTGGCTTACTTATTGGCAGCGACTATCATTTCACTGGCCAGACGCTCCCCTTTCCTCAGATACTGCATCCTAGAACCATTGTTAGGAAGCAGAAGCTTGGCTTTGACGTAGCCTCGCTTAACTGCTTCCAGACGAGGAAGGATGGGCTCGTATGGTGCCAATATGTAATCTTCGTGGGAATAAAACCACAGCTTCCTTCGCTCCATAGCAATGGCCGGATTGTGATTTAATGACCAACTCAAGCCCGCCATATTGCTGCGAAATGCAGATAGAAGTTGTACCCAGTCAGATACTCATACAAGGCTGTTGCAAGGCTGTGTCTCCGTGGTAGATACTAGAGTTGATAGATAGTATCGAGGTCACCTACAAAGAGCAGGTCCTGTGGGAGTACAACTTGTAGTGCTCGTGGGAATAAATCACCGTTCCAAGATTGTACATGTCTCGCATGAGCCACGCAGGCTATGTCTGGTCACTTGCTGTATGTTGATAATGATGTACAGAAGTCACCTAAAGTTAGATCAAGTCCTTGATCATGACAGATGGAGGACATCACTTGGTAGATAACTATTGCCATCTGCTCTGGACTCCCGTCTCCTTTCCTATGACAACATGGCGGCTGCGCTGGCTTGAAAGAGAGAGGAACCCGTGGGACTTGTAGTCAAGGACTCGGTGAGCCACCATTCAATCGAGGCAGGTTTATTGTTCTCCGCATTCAGCAAATTGGTACTAGGCGGATTGGAGTCACGGCCAGAACATTGACCGCTGTGGAGCTCTGTACGTCGATATCTCTCTTCAGTTGAAGCTATAGCTGGCGCGGAAGAATCACCCCTTTTCCAATCACTTACTTATAATCATGTCATCCGATTCTTCGGTTCAGGAATCTCACTTGGTATATTGTTTTGCTCTTGCAAATATAGCTAGCCTGGCAGTTAGCTTTAAAGCAATGACATGGTATTATATAATTTAAATACTTACTGGTTCTTGGAATGTCGTGACAGGCAGAGTATACTGATACAATGGTCCATATAAGGCGGTATATAACTGAGGCACTGGGGTGGAGAGGAAAGAACAGTGCGCAGGGAGACAGCAGGACTATTTATATGTTTCCTCTGCTGGAATATTCAATGTTAGTGGAAGGGGAATAAGATGATGTAACTTCACGATTAATCACTAATTGTGTTGATGAATGGCCAAAATCCCCACAATCATCCCAGGTAAATACCGGAAGGTCAATGTGTAGTGTAATAGAAGCGAAAGGGGAATGGAAGAGGCAGTTTCACCTACTTAGAGTTAATCATCCTGGATGGTTGAGCTGCACTAACAGAAAATGCGTCCGGCTAAATGTAATAATTGCAAGAAGACACTCTATAGCTGGGTGAAGTGCAACATTGGCTGGTCATTGAATAGAGAAGGGAAAATCCAGTGGTGTTCAGCAGTGCTAATGCTGTGCCCACAAGGCATAGAGAAGATGGAGGGCAGAAATTGAACTGTAGGGGGTAATGTATGCAAATAATAGGAAGTACATGGAAGACAATAGACCTGTAGTATGGATTAGTATGATGTTCCCTAGAAAGGAAATTTTGGGTTGATGACAGTTTCAGCTCAACGACCGGAAGACAAGGCATCCATTTTTAATGTTTGACCGCGTTCTAGACCAATTAATCCTTGTGGGAAGCTTCCGATCAAGCGTAGGGAAGATCCGTGGGAGTATCTAACAGATCGGGATCTTCCACGGTTACATGAATAATAGCTCACAATGTGGTCAAATCACGGATCCTACGCGGTAGCTTCCATTTATTGTATCCCTTCCGGACGCTAGAATAATATGCGGTTCTTCAGTCTTTTGCAAACTACATGTCCAACCTATCTGATCACAATAGTGATCTGCTTAGCGGCCACGCATGTAGTATCATACAAACGATGTCTTTTTTAATCATAATATCTCCATTACTTGACATCTTTGAAGTCCAATATAGGGTATAGAGATTATATAAATGATTAGTAGTACTTTCAGGATTTTTACCCATTTTTCAAACGCGTTAGTCATGGTAAGATTAGTACACAAATGTTCTAAATACTGTAACAGTGTCAAGCCATGAACAAAGAATTCTATAAAAACTTTGATGAATGTATCAGCGTCTAATGTATCCAGATATAAGTTGATAAGCTAACAGCAATCACACTGGTCGAGATATATTAAATTAGAAATAATGTTTTCTGTATAGTACTACATGGGTGGCCGCTCAGAGCAGGAACTACGTTATCATTCCTATGCGTATCATTCTGTACAAAAACATGTTGTAGGGACAGACACAATGTATAGACATACGTAGGAGCCACCAGACCAAGAAGAGACAGGGCCTGATGAGCTCCAAATTGGTCATATCGGTATACAAAGGTGATTCTAGAGGCAAACAATGCCATAAGATAAGAAGTCAGGCCATTGCATGTCTAGAGGCTCTACTAGAAGTGGCAGGCGTTATGGTTCAGTCTGTGCGAAACCAAGCATAATTTACACCAAACAAGGACGCGAGAAAGCTCAAAAATTTGGCGAAGCAAGAAAACTTAAGAAGAGTTCAAAACACAGCTGAGCATGCAGGGAAAAAGGGGTAACTCAAAGATCTCAGAACATTTACAACCGTAGCTTCAACAACCCAGGTAGGACTCAACATAGCTGCCGCATGAATTCCCGTTTTTTTCCCCTGGCTCTATAGGTTCTTTGCTGAATTCCTTCGAACAGACGCCTTCAAGCTAACAGTTAGGGATGCGGTGGGGGATTCATCTTATTGCGGATCACGTCTCTCTGACTGCGGTAGTTTCTCGCGGTATTGCACTGCTTTACGGCCTCACCATGATGCGAGACTTTCTTTTTCAGGCTGTCATAAGCAGTTGGATACTTGTGATCAAAGCCACTGCGAGAAGCTGCCACTCTATAGAAACTACTGTTAGCAGGTTCCAAATAATCTCACAATAAGCATTGTTCTGACTCACGTATTGGAAGCGGCTATCAAGTCAGTGGCCAGTCGCTCACCCTCCCTCAGAATCTGCATGGCGGGACCCTGGTTACCAGAAGTAGCCAATGGAGCCACTTTGTTGTACTCTCGTCTGACTGCCGCCAGATGTTTTCCGGCATCCTTGTAGGCAGTGTACTCTTTTTCCACGTGCTCTGGGTATGGCTGTGGTGCCTTGACCCATGGATCTGGAAATTTTGGCTCCTTGATATCGCCGTAGGCGAAGCTTGATGAGCGGCCCTGTGCGGAATTTTGAAAATTGTGACCGTAATAGCTTGGACTCGGCCGGACATTGACATGGGAGCTTGCCGGAGTGCGGATATCGTAGTTGGCGTCCGAGCCTCTTCTCCCGGAGATGACTGTCTTCTTGGGATCCCAGCCGCGTTGACTCATTCTCGTTTGTTGAAGATGATATCAGCCAGATGAATTGGGGAAGAGAAGTGGCAGCGGGTGGATTGTATCAAGGCAAACGCAGATTCAGTGGGAATATCGAGTAGTGTATAGAATACTGCTATGTGTATATGAATATATAGAATTATATAAGTAACAAGATTGAAGAAGGAAAGCGCAAATTTATAAGGATAGTAGAAGAGAAGGAAATACTGTATATAAATCTGGAATCACTAAGGAAATTGCTTTGATCGAGTTGAATGATGTCTTGTAGAAGATGGTGAGAGGCAGAAGGCGAAGCTGGTTTATATCTCTTTTGTAGAGCCATATTCACAGGACCCTTTCAAAAATAAAATACCATTCATAACCTCTATTTCTTTATCCTACACATTGAATGCGCGCGCTTGACCAAGGGCAAGAAACGATAGTTGTTTCACGGAGCCTCAAGACATAAGTTGATTGGCATCGGTGACAGCTTTGCCTATGTGGTGGCTTGGGGTGAATTATGACAGGAAGTGAGTGCATGCAGCAGCGGCATAGGTCTCAGGTAAGGCACTCACCACAAGGCTATCCTCGAAGGTGAGAAGTCCAGAGCCAGTGATGCTCGCATGGTTGTGTTCCTGGCGGCAACGGAAATGAAAGAGCCTGGTTCATTCCCGTCACGCCTTGGTGGGGAGCCGTTCACTCTAGAAGCACCGATACATCCTAACGCCGGCTATGTACGTCAGCTACTGCAGGAGGCGAAGCCTTCAAGTTTAATGAAGCATAGGTTTTCCATTGGCACAGCTCTTGGACTATCGTTCTAAAAATGGAGACAATTGTATTACATAAGGCGCTTAATTCCAGTCGGCGACTAATTGGCGATGGATAATCGCATCAGCTCAACATGCGGGATCATCTTCGTTTTCTCTTCCCCTCACCTCATCACCTTTGCCTCCCCTTACATTCTTTTTATCACCTTCCACACCATCCTCACCACTCCCTTACCATCATTTATTGCATAAAGAAACAAGATTCTAAAGGATATAGATTCCGAAAATGGTTAGTGTATTTCACTAGAATCCATAGTACATGTGCTAACTTTACATTAGGCTGTGCCCACCCTGGAAGGCATCCCGGTGGAACTGCGTATTTCCATCCTATTCACCATACCTGACCCCGGTTCACTGTGGTCGCTTCTACGCGCATCTTCTACATACTATGATGCCTTTGAGCTAGTGAAGAAAGACCTTCTTCGGAGCCTTTTACAGAAGCATCATGCTGGCTTGGTTGATATGGCCGATGCAATAGCCGCCATCCGTTCCAGAGGCTTGTACGCTTCCGAGCAATCCAACAAAGAAAAAATCATCGCACTTCTTGATGCCCGAAACTACAACCACAAATCTCCTCGGCCAGATACTTCACCTGCGCAGCTTCTAGATGAACCAGCAAATATCCAGGAGACAGTGCAGTTACTGCATTTACATAACCAGGCTATATTTTTCCTAGAGAATTTCTGCAAGACCATTAGGCGACCAGTATGGATGGATGAGACCAGGTGGGAGAGGGAAATCATACCTCTAGCCTTAACAGAGACGGAGCAACGACGCATCATCCGTGCTTTCTATCGATTGCAAATCTACGGAAATATCTTCGGTTCGATCGAACGTACCGTGGATGCGGAGCACACCTCCGAGGACAATGATTGGCAAGAAAAGCAAGATGTATTCAGCGGCGGAGAGATGTGGCGCCTGTTCTTTGGCCATATGGCTCCCTGGGAAGTTGAAGAATTCAGCTGTCTATGGGAGCACTGCTGTTACCGATACGAATCGATACTCCGCGAAGTATCCGACAGCCTGGTGCAGACAGGCTGCATGTTCTTTGACGAGCTTCCGGAAGATCAACGACCTCCTCCTGGTTGCTGGTATACCGACTGTGATGATTTCGAAGACCCAATGGATAAAAGGGAGAGCCTGGCTTCTAAAGGGCCCGCACTCCTCTGTAAAGTCCTGCGGGAAGAAGAATTCCTAGCCCGCCGGGACCTGGTCCTCGTCAACGTGCGATCATTCAGGTTATACTTCTATGACTTTGGAATCTGGCCCAGACCGACCGACACTAATGAAATGGAGCTGTTCTACCCCGCGGACAAATTCAACTTCGGGACGGATAGGAATGGGCTCCGAGAATTTCTGAAAACATTACCACCATTTGAGCGGCCAAATCTAGCATGGGAGAGGATATGGCTTCGAGATGATCTCAATTTTGCGCAACTTTTCTATGACATGTATGAGTTCGGGGCCACTAATAAGCATCGGCCGTGGCAATACGCTTTGTGGGATGACGAGAGACTCATTGAATGGAAAGTACCTATTCTCTCTGATGACTATCCGTTTTGGAACCCGACGCACGACAATTGATACCTTTTTTTCACTTATTGAGCAGGCCGTTGAATTCTTCTTCTTCTTCTTCTTCTTCTTCTTCTTCGTCTTCTTCTTCTTCTTTTTTGTTTATTTTTTTAAATTTTTTTTTTTTTTCGATGATAGACAAAAACCTTACATCGAATACTATGTGCCCTTTCACTTTTAGATATGAATCAAATGACCCATGACAGCCCCCATCTTTCTAGCACATGTCCCACTTGATGTTCATTTCCACTGTACTTTTACAGTCCAAATCTTCTTTCATCTTACTCCTTCAGACGCCCAGGACACCTACACATTATCATTAAATGGATTATTGAAATCTTAAATCGTAGTATTCACTATGAAACCTACAAAACATATCTAAAATCCTCAATTTCCAAATCCGTCTTACTCGACAACCCCAACGCCAACTCCTGACTCTCCGTCATCTGCTCCGGAACTCCATACAGTCGATCCCTCCGTTTATTCTCCCAGATATAATACCCCAGCAAACACGCCAAGAAGAATGCCCCCAACGCCAGTCCCGACGTAGCCGCTTTCATGCCCGTCTACATACCGCCATCATTAGCATACCACCCCCCAATAAGATGGATGGAAGATAAACATACCGGATAATAAGGCTCCTCCGAGCTATAAAAGAACTGCGGTCCGACAATATTCCCCACACAATACGCAACAAACAACAACGCGCTGGTGGTACTTCGTTTCGTGAACCCCGCGACATTCGAACTGATAATGCTTAGCGAGAGGGGAATATTAACAGCGAAGACAGCGCCCAGTGCCAGACCCGTCAGTCTGCCTCGACGGTTATCTTCATCCAGTTTCCAGACGAGAATCATGCCGATCAGAGAGGTTAGGGTGTTGAAAATCATCATTAGGATTCGCGTGCGCGTGATGAATGTCGCGATGCCGGCGGTGATGATGAGGAAGACGATTTGGGCGCCGCCCAGGGGCATTTGCATGAGGAGGGAGCGGATTTGGGAGAAGCCGAAGCCGTTGATGATTATTGAGGAGAACTGTTCAATTATTTATCGTTAGTTTGATGGGGTTGGTATGTATGTTAGGGAGGAGGGGAGGATTACGCTGGTGATTCCGCCGTTGCAGAGGTTCACGGAGAAAGTGTATAGAACCAAGAACCAGGTTTGAGGGTCGCGGATTGCTTGCCAGGCTTGGTCCCATCTGAAGGATCCCTCGTCCGCGACGCCGGTTTTGTTGGCGAGGGTGCGGTGCATGGCGATGGCGCGCTCGGGTTTGGTGAGGAAGATGGCTTTCTTGGGGGAGTCGGGGAGGAGGACGATGAGGAAGAAGGATATGAATGCCGTTATGGCGCCGAGGACGAGGAAGAGGAGTTGCCAGCTAGTTACGGCGTCGGCTTTGATGTTGCCGATGCCGTAGGCCACGACACCGCCGATGACAGAGGCGATGCAGTTTCCGAGAAACCAGGCAGATTGCCTTATTTGTTGTTAGTTTGTATACCTATGATACATGCTTTGGTTATGGATGAGGCATACCGTGCTGGCTGCTCCTCACGCTTGTAGAACATGCCTGTGATGAGGGAGAATCCCGGGGCTATGGCGGCTTCGCCCACTCCCAGGAAGAACCGGGCGGCCATCAAGCCTCCAAAGTTCGTTGCTGCAGCGTGGCACATTAGGATCCCTCCCCATATTAACCTATTTGACATTAGTGGTACTTTGGAGTAGTATTGGGGGGAGGAACCAACACTGAGGCACTAATGTATTTGCCGAGGGGCAAACGGACGATGAGATATGAGCTGGGCCAGCTCCAGGCAAAATACCCGAAATAGAAGACGGCAGATGTCCAGGTATACTCCTGTCCCTTGAGGTTCTGTTCATTGTCAGTATAGGTATGGTTTTAATTGAGATTGGCAACATACCAGATCCTGCCGAAGATTGAAGAGGGTAGCTTGACTCAGAGCCAGCTTGTCCATGTATTGCATCATGTAACAGACTCCCATCAGAGGAATCAATCTTGTTCGAGCAGTGAGAAAAGAGCATTCAATGCTATACAGATTACACATACATTATGTCCAGCTTCCGCAAGACCTTGCGTTCCTGCTCTGGCGTGGCTTCCACCTCCAATACTTGTCCCAGTCCGACATCCCGGGCCAGGGTTGCTTCGTCCTTCAACTTAAGATCGTCTAATTCGGGTGTCACCCCGGGAGGAGGGTCGTTATGCTGCTTCTCCATGGTGGTTTGATTGCGTGAGGGAAGCCACGGCATGATGGCACGGAACTGTTTTACTGTTTATACTGCTACAGGTAAGTACAGATGAGGTCCATCGGTTATAAGATAACCAGTTAACTTTAACCAAGAGCACCCACGGAATCAAGCGCACAACTTCCGCGATCAGCGACTGATACACAGTACCTTCACCGGGTAATTTGACGAGCCGATACCGCTATGATGCCCTGTCTGTACTCATCGCGATGAAGGCGAGGTCGGGAGCTTGGGCGTGAGTCAAATGCCGGGCATTGACTTTTCCTATCTAGAAGGCAACTATACCCGTGGGAAGGACGACCCAATGAGATTCGTGAAGCCATGTTGGTCTCGAAACAGGAATACGAGATCTGTGCGGTCACTCGGGCAGGTTCAGAATCCGGGGTCGCGATATGGCAGCAGATCAAGGGAAGCCGTCGGCAGATGCGCCAATACGAAGCGTCGGTCGGCAAGATGACAACCAGGTTATCGTTCATCGCAATGCCGGCAGCTGAACCGGCAACTCTCCACCACGCTTATCCTTGGGTTTCCACTGGTTCGAGAAGTCAATGCTGGGTCCATCTTCCGGGAAACTCTCAACTGCGCCTCCCCCACAGATTCGATCGTGCGGAGAAACGCCTCGTGTTGGTCAGGGACGAGGGACTCATTTAATACTTGATCCACTGTTATCTGCCGAGCTAGTCACCCTGATAATACCTGATAGTGTTTGATAGCTTGATAGCGGAGGTATTATTAATGGCTTATGCGCTGGATTTCCCGCGGCTGTCGGGGCGGATTTGATAACGACAATCTTCCGCGATGCGGGGTGCAGATGGAGTCACCGTTGTAACTGACACTGGTTCGTAATGATGGTTACCCGAGTGATCCTATCATGGCTTTCATCTGAATGTCCGGGATTTGCCCCATTGCGTCGGCCGAGGTTCTCCACGCTTATCCCTTGCCGCGATAGCAGGGCGATGATGGGGAGGGGAGGGCATATATGACGCCCCGGTAGACAACGTCGGGAGCTCTTACTTGATTTTCAGCCAGCAGAGAACAAGATTGGCAGACCATCGCCACAATGACCGCAACGCAGACCATTACCCAAACCGTGCCAACGATCGACGAGGTCAAGGTAGCAGTTGATGCAGCGTTGGAGTCTGCGCAAACATCGCTACGGGAGCTCAACCGAGAGGTAGGCACCTAACCCTCCTTTCGCTTCATATGATACTGATCATCGACTTTACCACAGATCTGGTGTAATCCAGAAACAGCCTACCAAGAGCATCGAGCCCATGACACCATCTGCGACTTCCTCGAGAAGCAAGGCTTCACCGTAACCCGTCACGCATACGGACTGGACACCTCTTTTGAGGCAATCAGCGGATCTGGTGGACGACTTATCAACTTCAATGCCGAATACGATGCGCTACCTGACATCGGTCACGCCTGTGGCCATAATCTCATCACTACCAGCAGTGTGGCTGCCTTCCTAGCGCTGTCCACGGTCCTGAAACAATACGGTATCCCCGGTCGCACTCAACTTCTGGGCACCCCGGCAGAGGAGAATGGCGGTGGCAAGGCCAAACTGATTGACTTGGGTGCATACAAGGGTGTAGATGTGTCATTGATGGCGTACGTATTGCCTAGCCCTTTATGTGGCTTATCATCTTCGAGAGTTGACTTTTCCTATTCGCATACTGACCTTCCTCAGTCACGCAGGACCTAAAGAACTATTCCCTGGCGTTGTAACAGACAGCGTTGGTGGTGTGCGAATGAACGCCCGAAAAGAGTTACACTGCGAGTTCACAGGTCGGAGTGCCCATGCTGGCGGCAATCCTTGGGAAGGAATCAATGCCCTCGACGCCCTAGTAACATCATACAACAACGTGGCCGTACTGCGCCAGCAGCTCCGCCCAGATGAGCGCATACACTGTGCTTTCTTGGATACACCCACGGTGGCCAACATTATTCCCTCGTACACCAAAGCGTACTGGCAGGTTCGCAGCCCGACATTGAAGGGGTTGAACCAACTCATGGTCAAAGTGCGGAACTGCATTGAGGCAGGTGCATTGGCTACAGGTTGTGAGGTGAAGATTATCGAGTAAGGCTGTTGATCCCTGGACCAACAGAAGGTGAGCTAACTGGACCAGGAACGAGCTGTATACCGACATCAAGATCAATGACACACTGTGCGACCGTTATAAAGAACACATGTCCAAGTACGACCGAAATGTTATCGCGCGTCTTGAGCAGGTCATGACAGGATCATCGGATATCGGTAGGTGCCCTTGCTTGTGCAATCACAGTACTTTGCTGATTTCTCCAGGCAATGTCAGCTACATTGTCCCGACACTACACACCATGTTCGGTATCACGGATGAACCAGGCTCCTTCCCTCATCACCCCAAATTTGCTGCAGCTGCTGGAACCGATTACGCGCATCAAGAAGCGGTGATTGTAGGCAAGTCGCTGGCGCTGATTGGGTGGGAGATGGTGACGAGCGATGAGTTGTTTGGGATTGCGCAGAAGCAGTTGAAGGAATGTCTTGAGGAGTAGGGCAGCACATTCTGCCTTGAGGACCTTCCCACCATTCAAGCACCATTTCGTCTTCTGAGTACGTGCTTGGAACCACTCTCATGCTCAATGTCTTGCAAATAACCATCAGGATGTTCCTCGGTATATCCTCGGCGATATTGCTCGGAGAAAGGTGAAACACGGCGTCTGTCACATTGTTTGTATACCCGATAGAAGTATAACCTTCCTAGCGCAGATCTTGAATGCACGATTGATGACTCTGTGCCTGGCGATGCCCCAGCGACTAGTAGCCAGGCTCAAACCACGGCGACTCCCTAGTGGGCGTCACTAAGACCAGGATGGTGGACGTTAGCCCTGCAACGGGGCAAAACTACCCCAAACCGAGATCAGACCCCTCTCCAACTATGTATAATTTCACCTTTCAGACAATGACACTCTCTATAACCTTGCCATTGATCTCAAACTCCCTCTGCCTTCCTACCAGCCCTGTACGAGTCAGTCCCCAGCTGTCTTGCCGCTGACTAAGCACCTGGATGTCATTTCGCTTCCAGGCTTTTTTTGTCCCTCCGAATTTCTTTTTTCCCGATGAACTTTCCCGCCTGCATCGCCTACTGCCCCTCCCTTAAAATTGTGATATCGGCTGTCTCCTTCTGCTTTTTACTAATGCCTGCCGGCTGATCCGACTCCTTCACGAGTGGGCCATTCATTCCATGTCGGGTCGGAACGCGCCTCGCTCGAAGAATGGTATGCCAACCCTTGCCCGAGTTCCCCGGAGTTTGGCGGAAAGCTCGGGAAAAAGATTCCAGCTGACATGTGTCGACGGGCTGACTGACTGACTGACTGACTCGCTTCTTGCAGGCTGCAGCACCTGCCGCCGTCGTAAAGTAAAATGCGGGGAGGAGCGTCCAGTCTGCAAACGCTGCTTCAATCTACGACTGAACTGTGAATGGGGGATTCCCGTTAAGCGCGGAAAGGCCAATGCCCCGGTTCGGCATCTGCAGCCCGCGCAACCTCGCTGGCCGACCAGTGATGGCATCACCACTTGTTCCTCCCCATCCGCGACCGCTTCCTCACCTGTTCGCGCCGCCGTGACCAACGGCATTCTTCATCCTCATTATGCCAACACCTTAGCTGCCCTCTGGCATCGGCAGTCCCCCGGACCAGCCCCAGATTTCACCCCGGTTTCCCCAGATGTCACTTTCCCCACGGGATGGCCGTTTCCGCCCTACGCGCACCCATCGCCCCTCTACCGGCCCCAGCCCGGAACAGGTGGCCTGCCCTGCACTAATTCGCTTGTCTTGTCGGAGCATGATCAGAAATACTTCCAGTACTTCCCCTCCTCGTCCGTCGTGTTCTACTACATGAAGAACTGGCAATGGAGCAGCTTCCGCTATCTGTATGAGGGGCCAGCGGCGACCAGCAAGGTCATCATGCGCATGATTTTGGCTCTGTCGGCAAGTGATATGCATCGGAATGGCTTGGTTGTCCGGTCACCAGGTCGTCCGACCGCCGAGGATCATGGCCGGTACCACTACGGCATGGCTGTTAAGGAGTTCCGGCAATTACTGGAAACCCCCAAACCTCAGGTATCGTTTGCGGAGCTTGAGATGATCTTTGCAACGATGTTTCTCATGGTCGCGTACGAATGGCAATTTGGTCATTGCGTGCGTCATCTCCACCTCCATCTGCAGGGAGTGCGGTCTTTGCTGGAGACACATCCGGAATTGTTCCATGTGCGCGATGTCAACGAGGTGTTGTTGGCAATGGAGGCGGACCAGCCCAGTGATACGGTCTCTCGAGCTTCGTTCATCTCGGACCAGTTCTTGCTGTGGATATTGTAAGTATGCCTCCTTTCTCACATTAAGCGTCGCTAACAGCTCAGATATATCGACGTCAACCGTCGCTCGATCGGGACTACAGAGTCACTCTACGACTACGTGCTCAACTCCGGCAATGAATCTCTTCACCCGGACCATCTGTATCGCTGCGCACGGCTCTGGAGCCGATGCTTCTGGGGAAAGCAATACCCGGACCAGGAGGTATCGGACGACATGGAGAACTACCGGGCGCTGGAGTTTGTACACGTCGGATACACTTTATGGCATAAGCTCTGGAAATGCTTGGATGAAAAACACGCCGAGTCTGGCGACGCACTGTTCGCCGAAATGATGACGGTTCGGGATGTATGTCGACATCTTGACACATTAATGTGGAACCCATGCTAACCATTACAGAAATATTCCGACCTCCTATTAACCGCCAAGCTCGCCAGTCCAGGCTCCACCCGCCGGACGCTCAACACCATCTACATGGCCGTGAACAACTTCTACGCCCTGATTCTATTTCACCGTCGTCTCTTCGATACAGCCCGCCCACCAGCAGCACTTCACCGCCAAGCCCTCACCAACATCATCGACAACGCCCACAAACAACACTCCGCAGACCCGCGTCTATTACGGCGACTACACTGGCCACTACTAATGGCCATTGTCGAAACCGATGACCCAGTGCAACGCGAGTGGCTACGCGAGCGGCTCTACGAGCTGCGATCCTTCCACTCAGAACACCTATGGGCATTTCAACTCGCAGAAGAGGTACTTGCTCGCCAGGACGCGAGCGCAGGGGAGTACGCGAATTTGGCGGAATTGCTGCGCAACCACCAGATCCGTTTGCAGTAATACCATATATATGATACCTTGTATACCAGATACTTTAATATGTAACAACTATATACATCCATTCCACAAATGCTCCTAATCCTATGCCAAATTCTCCAAGAAATACGCATCATACGCAACCTCCCCCTTTGCCCTCGTCGCCCGTCCCACAATCACCCGATTCGTCATCCACCGGTACTTCTCATGTCCAGTCTCCAGCTTAATATGCAAATGGAACCAGTAACTCGCCGGATCAACACCATCGCCTTCCATCAATGCCTTGAGGACTTCGGGGGGTCCGGACCGGGTGCCTTCCGTTCTAAACACATCCCATCAACATCAGCATATACCATCTCCAAATCTCCACCCTAATCGTCACATAGAGAGAAATAAGAAATTACCCACCTAACATAGATATACGCCCCATCCTCACTCTTAATCACATAGTTCGTATTCACATGCGTCGTCTGGTTCTCTTCAACGAGCCTACACCATCACCTTCTAGTTAGCCGCCAATTTCCAACTCTAGTATGCAATACTCCAATAAGGTATGGGTAGTGGGGGGTTATACATGAAATCCGCTCCTCCCGGAACAACCTCCCCCACGAGATACTTCCCCCTCACGGTCCCGGACTTGATGGGCACGCAGCGTCGACGGCCGTACGGTCCCTTGCCGATCTCGAGCGGTGGGTCGACGGCGCAGCGGAGCGTGAAGAGGTGGGTTAGGGCTGGGGGTGGGGAGAGGGGTTCCATTTTGTCTTTGTCTTTTCTCTTCTCTTCTTGGGGTGAGGTCAGTTGGTTTGGGAGAGGGAATGAGGGGTGATTATGTAGTAGTAAGTATAGAAGTGATGAAGAGAGGGTGGTGGTGCTTAGGAGTTATATGTGTATGTGAGGTGCGTGGAGTACTCCGGTGGAGAAGGAGGAAGATGATGGGAACGGATATCGGCAGTCGAGTGTGGGGACCTCGGTGGGAGGTTTCGCGTCAGATGGGTGATGGGGTATTTTCAGTATAGTAGTTGTCTACTAAGAGAATTGAAATTGGATCATGGGAGTTGTTTGTGGGTATAGAGTGATGTACTTGGAGTGGTGACATCATGTTTGCTTTGAGTGCTGATCATTGGATATATATATATTTTGGGACTGGTGATTTGAATTTAGGTTAGAAGTGACAGATCTGAGTATTGTTTAGGTGATCAATGCTCTATCATCAAGGTCATATGGTAGTGAGTACACAGATACTGGGTATATAATTCACTATAGGCTTTGATAGTTGCCCAACAGCGCGTTGATTTAATAGCTTGCCATGAGTTCAATGGATATATTAACAGCACACCCTAACGCCTGCCCAGACTAATTATGCACATATGCCAATTCCAACGGCTGGCCTCCGCGTTGAGCGAGACTACAATGCCGTCATCGCAGTCTGCTCATCCATCAGGCGGGTATAATGTTACACGCTTGTTTTGAAGATCGCATCGCATGCGCACCCTAGCTCGCGATTTGGCCAAAATAAGGACATGGCCTTATTATTCTTTCTTCGCTTGACACCGGATAGAAAGGATGATGGATTGTTCGTTTACGCGCCACCGACAAGGACGTTGTTAACGGGGATGTGGACTAAGACGAGTCAGTCAGTTTACCGATTCAGCAGGACCTGGACCCAATTGCAAGGACAACATACTCAGCTTCACGATGTAACCGATGAATCCCATGATCAGGAAACCAGTACCGACAGCCTGGCTGATCTTGATGAACTCGCGCTTGTCGGCTGTTTTGACAAAACATATTAGCTTGAATCCAGGAGTGCTGCACAAGCAACGGGAAACTCACGCTTCTGGCTGCGGTTGACGAACTGCACGCCTTCCCTGAGGAACTCCCGAGGGACGTTAAGGAGCTCTTGCACCTGGTCGGACATTTTGACGGAAGCGAAGGAATGGATGCTGAGGTGTCAATGGAGGCGAGGTGAGATGGGGATGGGATGGACGCGAATGGGCCAGCTGTGCTCTTTTGGTGGTCGGCGAATAATGGCGTCGCCCGGTCGGACTCGAAAGGGGCGGATTATCTACTTTCCGAGGTCCTGGCCACGTATCAGTTGGTTGGTCACGGGTGTGGCTGATGGGTTTGTGGCGGCGGGATACTAATGTGGCTGGTGAGGGTCCCGGTTTACCCCGGATCGTGTCCCGAGTTGCTCCATTGGGATAGATACTCTTTTCCAAGTTTGGGGGTTTCTCGTTTGCACTCTGCCTTTTGTCTTGATTTCTTCCTGGACTTCCCCTGAACCACCCTGCTGTTCAGTTGTGGCTTTCAGCTACTTCATGGACATAAGTGCTAGATAGCACCCTTCGAATGCTGATACTAACCCCGGCATACTAATCCTGACTGCTGCTACTTGGATTGCCGATGACGGCCAACGAAGCAGTGTGTTGCACCAGAAAAAAAACTGCCATCACTATGTAAACTGCTGGTAAAGATACACTGAATGGGGCGTCGCTTGCTGCGCGTTCTGTGTGATCCGTCATAATGAGCTCCAGACGCATGTGTTCACAGGCTAATGAGCAATGAGTATCACTGCTTGACGCCAACACCCACTAAATACAGATACAGCTCTGCGTGTTTCGTCTCCTGAGACCCTGCAAACTGTTATTCACAAAATTGCATAAAGGCAATGTCTATCCTACCAATGGTTTTTCTGCTAATAAACACATCGCTGAGATCAAATCCCTCAGGTCAGCCTGCATCTGCGCCGGACTAACTACTAGTCTCACCCCGCCGTGCTGCATCGAAATTGCAGCTGGTTGCACTTCCCTATCCGAGCATCGTCTTGCAGGAGCTGAGCTCGGCGATCGACATGATAGTGCATCTCAACCAAATACATCCGCCATCACAACTGAGCTGATAAGCTCTGCAGGCTTGATTCGTTCTCATTGTGTCAGCATCAGACCCCGATACCAACTACTAGTACCTACTAGCAGCCATGTACTGTTGCGATATTTAAGATACCCCTCTCGTTTACATCAACAGCAAGCATCCAGAGACAGCCGGATCAACAGGCACCATGTCTGTTCAAACAGCTTGGGAATCCTGCGACAAAATCGATACGCTTTTCATTCTTGTGTGCTCCGTCTTCTGCTGGCTTATTATCCCGGCTGTCGGGCTCGCCTACTCTGGCTACTCTACTCGTTTCAATAGCATTGCTTCGTTCTATCCTGGCCTCTTGGCTGTCGCCGTCTGCTCGATCCAATGGTGGATGCTGGGGTATTCGCTCGCCTACGGCGAAGGCAACGGCTTCTTTGGGGGCTTCAGCAAGGTGTTTCATATCGGTGTCCTCGCTGATCCGGTTGGCACAATTCCTGAGATCCTGTTCTCGGAGTTCCAGCTCATATTCTGCGCGACCGTGTGTGCTATTGCAATCGGAGGAGCCTGTGAGCGCGGCAGGCTTCTTCCATTGATTCCCTTCATTTTTGTAAGAGCAGCCCCCTCGTCCCCTCAACATTTGCTCATTTCTCTAGCTCTGGTGTACATTCATATATGCTCCTCTAGCCCACATGGTGTGGTCGGAGAACGGCTTTCTCGCGAACCTTGGTGCCCTCGACTTCGCCGGAGGCACCCCCGTGCATATTTGCAGCGGTGCCACCGCCACGGCGATGAGCGTCTACCTTTCCTACCCACTATTTCGGTCGCGACGCTCTCAGATCCGAACTCCACAGCACCTGTTATTGCACCGGCCACACAACACTTTGTGTCAACTGCTAGCACTGATCATTATTTGGAATGCCTGGCTTGCCTTTGACGCGGGAACCACTCTCGCTCTCAATTTCAAGAGTGTCATGACCGCATGCGTGACCAACCTCTGCGCCTCTTCAGGCGCTCTCACCTGGGCGAGTCTGACTTATTGGGAGACCGGAAAGTGGAGCTTGGACAGCACATTCTTGGGCGCGATCGCAGGACTCGTTCTCGTTACTCCGAGCGCAGGCTTCATCGACATGAGCACAGCAATGGGATTTGGCATCCTAGGTGCTGCATGCGGGTACCAGGCTCTCAAGATCAAGTTCACCAAACGAGCGAAGCTTCTGCGCTGGGTTGACAACGGGGACACGTTCGCTACTCATTGCCTAGGTGGGTTCTTGGGCACGATCGTAACTGGCCTATTTGCGCAACGAGAAGTCGCAGCATACGACGGCGTCACGGACATCGTGGGCGGTTGTTTCTTCGATGGCAACTGGAGACAGCTGGGGATACAAATCGTCGAAGCGTTGATCGGGTTCGTGTGGAGCTTTGGGGGAAGCTACATTCTGTATGCCCTGATAGACTGTGTGCCTGGATTCGAGGTACTGGCGACGGATGAGTACGTCAACCACCCCCAGCTTAAGGATGGAACTAACTTAAATAGGGATGTGATCGCGGGAATGGACAAGTCCCAGATGGGCGAGTCCTTGCACGAGGAACAATGGGCCGGAGAAGAAGATTACCATCCCTTCGAGGGAATTCGCTTGTAACATTCAGGTCAGCGCTAGCGCCGTCCAGTCAGAGTAACAACATTATTCTCCCATCCTCTATATACCACCATACTACCAAAAAATATAACCTAGTTGAAGACAACAGTCTTGTGTCCGTTGAGCAGGACTCTCCGCTCAGCGAAGTACTTCACCGCCGTAGCCAAGACATTGCTCTCAACGTTGGATCCAGCATGAGTCAACTCCTTGGGGCTCATAGCGTGGTTGACACGCACAACATTCTGCTCAATAATCGGACCCTCATCCAAATCACTGGTGACAAAGTGCGCCGTAGCACCGACAATCTTGACACCGCGGTCAAAAGCCTGGTGGTAAGGCTTAGCACCCTTGAAACTGGGCAAGAAACTGTGATGAATGTTGATGATCTTTCCAGACATGGCCTCGCACAGCATAGGCGACAGCACTTGCATGTAGCGGGCCAGGACAACCAGATCAATGTTGTGTTCGCGGATCAGCTCCAAGATGCGTCCCTCCTGCTGGGGCTTGGTGTCGGCGGTCACGGGGAGATGCAAGAAGGGGATGTTGTAGGTAGCAGCCAGGGTAGCGAAGTCGGGGTGGTTGGAAACGATGAGGGGGATCTCGATGGGGAGCTGGCCAGTCGAGGCGCGGAAGAGGAGGTCGTTGAGGCAGTGGCCGATCTTAGAGACCATGATCAACACGCGGGGCTTGGAGGAGGCGGGGACGAGCTGGAAGGTCATGGTCAGGGACTCGGCGGTGGGCTGGAAAGCGGTGCGCAGGTCGTCGAGGGACTTGGCGGGAGAGGATTCATCCTTGAAGTGCACGCGCATGAAGAAGCGCTGGCTGGTCGGGTCGCCATATTGGCTGCTGTCGATGATGTTGAGGTTCTGTTGCACCAGGTAGGCGGTCACGGCGTGGACGATGCCCGGGCGGTCGGGGCAGGAGAGGGTGAGGATGTAGCTCATTGTGGTGGTGGTGGTGGCTGCTGGCGGGGGGTACCGTAATGGGTAGTAGGTGATGTTGAATCAAGCAGTGGTTGCTCTTTGGGAATGACTTCAGTTCCTGACAACTAGCAGAATTGAATTTCGGCCGTTGGGCGCCCCGCCGCGTAGCAACGAGGATCTTTACCCGGTTTCGGCCATGATTTGATGACTCAGGCGGGGTGCGGTGATTGATAAGATTAGGGCTAGCAGGTAGGGCAACGCCGCGAGTCACATGGTCTGCATTGGATTTCCTCTTTGGGCTCGTGAGATGGCTGTCCCGCGCGGATTGCCGGATGCACAACGGCATTGTCTCCTGCTTATTGTGGCGGCGCCACCAGGCTGCCGGATTACCTCTTTGGTAAAGGGAATGGTCTTCCTTGAGTTCGCTTGTCACGATGACTTCAAGATTGGACGCCGACGAGCTCAGTCTACTATACGTGCCATGTCGGGATGCGGTCCGTTTAGCCGTAACATATCCGGGATCATGAAATTGAGAGATAGGCAGCATACAACTGCAAAAGGTATAAAGAGCTCGTTCTTCTCCTCCGTCCATTATCACAGCATTCACATTCTTCACAGCAGAACTCAGAGGCTCAAGAGCTCAAGCAGTGAATCACAATGTCTTCCTTCCAAGTCTACCGAGCAGCTCTGCTGCTCTCTATCCTTGCCACTGCCAATGCTCAGCAGGTTGGCACCTACACCACTGAGACACATCCGTCTCTGACCTGGCAAACCTGCACCAGCGATGGCAGCTGCACTACCAACGACGGCGAGGTGGTCATCGACGCCAATTGGCGTTGGGTGCACTCAACCTCCAGTGCCACCAACTGCTATACTGGCAACGAATGGGACACCTCAATCTGTACCGACGATGTGACCTGCGCCGCGAACTGCGCGCTTGACGGTGCCACTTACGAGGCGACCTATGGTGTGACCACGTCCGGCAGCGAGCTGCGCCTGAACTTCGTCACTCAAGGCTCCAGCAAGAACATCGGGTCTCGTTTGTACCTCATGAGCGACGACAGCAACTATGAGCTGTTCAAGCTCCTCGGCCAGGAGTTCACCTTTGATGTCGACGTGTCCAACCTTCCCTGCGGTCTCAACGGCGCGCTCTACTTCGTCGCCATGGACGCTGACGGTGGCACCTCGGAGTATTCCGGCAACAAGGCCGGTGCCAAATACGGAACCGGCTACTGCGACTCGCAGTGCCCTCGCGACCTGAAGTTCATCAACGGCGAAGCCAACTGCGACGGCTGGGAGCCGTCCAGCAACAACGTCAACACCGGAGTTGGCGACCACGGCTCCTGCTGCGCCGAGATGGACGTCTGGGAAGCGAACAGCATCTCCAACGCCTTCACCGCGCACCCCTGCGACTCCGTCAGCCAGACAATGTGCGACGGTGACTCCTGTGGTGGAACTTACAGCGCCAGCGGCGACCGCTACAGCGGCACCTGCGACCCCGACGGCTGCGACTACAACCCCTACCGTCTAGGCAACACGGACTTTTACGGCCCCGGCCTGACCGTCGACACGAACAGCCCCTTCACCGTCGTCACCCAGTTCATCACCGATGACGGCACCTCCTCCGGCACCTTGACCGAGATCAAGCGGTTGTACGTGCAGAACGGCGAGGTCATCGCCAACGGCGCCTCCACCTACTCCAGTGTCAACGGCAGCTCTATCACCTCCGCTTTCTGTGAATCAGAGAAGACGCTGTTCGGCGACGAGAATGTCTTCGACAAGCACGGCGGTCTCGAGGGCATGGGCGAGGCTATGGCCAAGGGCATGGTCTTGGTCTTGAGTCTTTGGGATGACTATGCCGCTGACATGCTCTGGCTCGACAGCGACTACCCCGTTAACTCGTCGGCCTCGACCCCAGGTGTGGCCCGCGGTACTTGTAGCACGGACTCGGGTGTCCCGGCTACGGTGGAGGCGGAGTCGCCCAATGCCTATGTCACCTACTCGAACATCAAGTTCGGGCCTATTGGCTCGACTTACTCCAGTGGATCTTCTTCGGGGTCGGGGTCTAGCTCCAGCTCGAGTTCGACTACCACTAAGGCCACTTCGACGACCTTGAAGACTACCTCGACCACCAGCAGTGGAAGCAGTTCGACCTCGGCGGCGCAGGCGTATGGACAGTGTGGTGGACAGGGCTGGACTGGTCCGACCACTTGTGTGAGTGGGTACACTTGCACGTATGAGAATGCGTACTACTCGCAGTGTTTGTAGACCCTACTTGAAGGGGGATGAAGATGGCAGCGCGGGGGAGAATAGCTAGTGATTAGCAGTTAGCACACGTACTACAGTTTAGTCAAATTTAGGAAGCAATATGACATGATCACTTGATGCAGAATCTACCAACCACCACTCTACCTCAAATTACACTCCACTATAATCCTACTATAAATTAACTTCCCGTACCCGACCAACCTAGGCACAAACCGAACCCAATCAACCATCACCCAAATAATCCTCCCCCTCTCCTTACTTATCTGCAGAACATCCGTGCGGAAAGCCTAAAGTAGTGCTTACATGACCAGACAGTGTCACCCCAGACACATCATATGGCTGGACGGGATATTCTCCGCACCCAATGCATGCATCCTCTGCAGGAAGCTTGGCTCTCATTTCCTTTCCCCGGAGATGAAGATCCGGTCCTTTCCGGATCAGCAAAGGGGAAAGTTGACTAATTTACCTACAAACCGGTTCTGCAATCATGCGCACCCGTGACGAATCTGGTTGCCCGTTCTTATTTAGGAAATGGGCCGATACTCTCTAATGAAGTGGTATGGGTTGTCGGTCCGCGTGCCGGGTAGTCTAGTAGTATTCTGGCAGAATGCGCGATGATTGATGATGAGATGGATATAAATGACTCCCCTTCATCTGTCTTGACAGAATGGCATCAAGCACAACCAGAGAAGAGTAACTGCCAGAGTGACAGATCAAGATGAAGACTCTCTCCCTTGCCGCTGTCTTGCTCGTCCAAGCCTGGACTGCGAACAGCAGTCCGAGGGCTAAGCGGTCGTCTGGTTTCCAATGTACCTCTTCCTTCTTCACTACCTATTTGAAAGACACATATTGATAAGTGAACAGGGTTCGGTAGCAACGAATCCGGCGCCGAATTTGGCTCCGGGAATATCCCCGGCACTTTGGGCACGGATTACATCTGGCCTGATGCGACGGCTATCGCGACGCTGCATAGTGCTGGGATGAATATCTTCCGCGTGCCGTTCCTGATGGAGCGGTTGGTGCCGGATGAGTTGACTGGTGCGGCGGATGCGACGTATATGGCTGATCTGAAGGCTGTAAGTTCCCCTTATCAGGATATGATGCACTGTGTCTGATGACGATGGTGGTGACGATGTAGACGGTGCAAACCATCACAGACCTTGGTGCTTATGCGGTGGTGGATCCGCATAATTTTGGGAGATAGTATGTGCTTCCTTCCCTTCCTTCACCTTCCTGTGGTATGGAACTAATGTGATACTATCCAGCTACGGTAACATCATCACCTCAACCAGCGACTTTGCAGCCTTCTGGACAACAGTCGCCAGCGAGTTCACCGACAATGACCTTGTCATCTTCGATACCAGTACGTACCCTACCTCCCCCCAATCTTTTACATACTAACATGATGCAAATAGACAACGAATTCCACGACGAAGACCAAACCCTCGTGCTCGATCTCAATCAAGCCGCCATCACCGCCATCCGCGCCACCGCTGCCACAACGCAATATATCTTCGTCGAAGGCAATTCCTACACCGGCGCCTGGACCTGGACCACCACCAACACGAACCTCGTCAACCTGACCGACCCCAACGACCATCTCATCTACGAAATGCACCAGTACCTGGACAGCGATGGCTCCGGGACGAGTTCGACGTGCGTCAGCTCGACAATTGGTGCGGAGCGCATTGCTGATGCCACAACCTGGTTGAAAGAGAATGGCAAGCAGGCGGTGCTGGGGGAGTTCGCGGGCGGCGCGAATAGTGTATGTGAGGAGGCGGTTACAGGCATGTTGGATGCGATGGTGGATGCTAGTGATGTTTGGCTGGGGGGCATGTGGTGGTCTGCTGGGCCTTGGTGGGGGGATTATATCTTCTCGTTGGAGCCCGATGATGGAATTGCTTATGAGTATTATTTGGGGGTGTTGGAGGGGTATACGCCTGGTTCATCTTCGGGATCATCTGGAGGGAGTACAACAAGTGCCGTGGCGAGTGCTAGTAGTACGTCGTCTGCTGGGAGTACTACGAGCAAAGTGACTACTACTACTGCTGCGACTGCTACATCGACGGCTGTAGCTGCGCACTATGCTCAGTGTGGTGGGGAGGGCTGGACTGGGGCGACGACTTGTGCGGATGGATATACCTGCACAGTAGAAAATGAGTGGTATTCGCAGTGTTTGTAGTTGGTTAGCTATATCTCTCTATGAGTGAGTGAGAAATGATATGCGTTCTACATACCAACTACTGATAGTTTGGAGAGTCTCGGCTAAACGCGTTCCCGGCCGGCAGTAGAAATTGCCGCGGATCTGCTCCGAAGGGTTTATCCATGTCTGTGGGGATGATGTGATGCAGGGTTAAGGTTATTTGTGTTGATAGTCATGCTTGATTTATCACTCTTTTCATTAGTTTATATTTCTGTATCATTCTTTACTTTTGACTTAGGGTGATGTGGATGGGCAGTGGGTGAGGTGGAGCCGGGTATGTTCTTTGGGAGGGAGTATTCATTTGAGGCGAATTGTGGCAGGTTTGAGTGTTCATTGTCCAGTCAGTCTAGAGTTGATACCAACAAGAGTACGGAGAAATAGTAGAGAGACCATGTATTGAGTGTGCTGAAGATACTCCGTAAAGAGGGCTGACCTGATGGACTTGGAGGATTGACAGCGCACGTGCCATGCCTCTCAGCATCCACAATGGCAGAACCAGACATCTCCCCTATTGGATAAGGCCTGACAGAATAATGGAGAGAACTTGGATATTCTCACAAATAAAGTGATAATTGAACCCTTGAGTATGCTGAGACTTCTTGTTTCATCGGCAACCCCGGATTGCCGGTCGCGGATGCCGGCTCCCCGCATTACCGGATCGGGCGAAACATCGGCTGCGCTGCTCGCCTTCATTCCCGATCGCATCTTTTGCTCTCCCACTTCACTTCTTCTGCCTCGAGGGGACTATGTTCCGTGCCATTGCTCGTTCCTCTCTCTTTTCTCAACGTCTCTCCCCCTCTCTCACCCAGACAGCTTCCCTCTTCACTCCCACCGCCCCCGCCAACATGAAGCATCATCTTATGGTCGGTACCTGGACCCCTCCAGGCCGCATCTACACCGTCGCCTTTGACGATGAGGCCCTCACCCTCGACCTGGTCAAGAAGACCGACATCCCCGAGGCTGAGCCCATCTCCTGGATGACCTTCTCGGTAGGCATGACCTTCAATGCTTCCTTTACTGCTCCCCGCTCACTCCCCTCCAGCATGACAAGAAAGCCATCTATGGCGCCGCCATGAAGAAGTGGAACAGCTTCGCCGTCCACAGCCCAACTGAGATTGTCCACCAAGCCTCTCACCCTGTCGCTGGTCACGGTGTGTATTCTCCCTTCTATTAGCCCTCCTGAATCCTGCTAATTCCTCAGAACTCGCCGCCAGCGCCGACACTAACACCCGCGCCATCTTCGTCCTCGCCGCCCACAAGCCCCCCTACAACGTCTACGGCAACCCCTTCTACAAATACGCCGGCTACGGCAACGTCTTCTCCGCTGGCCCCGATGGCGCTCTCCTCGAGAACATCCAGAACTACGAGTACGAGCCCAACACCGGCATCCACGGCATGGTCTTCGACCCCACCGAAACCTACCTCTACTCCGCCGATCTCCAGGCCAACAAGATCTGGACACACTTGAAGGACCCCGAAACCGGCAAGCTGACCCTGATCGACTGCATCGAGGCTCCCTCTCCCGATGACCACCCCCGCTGGGTCGAGATGCACCCTAGCGGCAAATACCTCTACGCCCTGATGGAAGCTGGCAACCGCCTGGCCGTGTACGTCATCGACGAGCGCACCCACAAGCCCGTCTTCACCCACATCACATACCCCCTGTTGCCCCAGGGTCTGCCCCCGCGCAACAAGTACCGCGGCGACGTCACCTTCACCACCCGCAGCGGCGAGTACCTCTTTGCTACGACCCGTAGTAACCACTTCGATGTCACGGGATACATTACGGCGTTCAAGCTGGGGCCCAATGGCAACATCGAGAAGCAGCTGTTCATCCACCCTACTTCGACGAGTGGTGGACACTCGAATGCGGTTAGCCCGTGCGATTTCAGTGATGAGTGGTTGGCGCTGTGCGATGACCAGCTTGGATTTGTCGAGATCTACCGCTTCAAGGATGAGACCCTGGCTCGGGTTGCTCGCGTGGATATCCCTGAGAAGGGATTCGGTATGAATGCGATTTGGTATGATTAATGGAAAAAGTATATATAGAATGTAAATAGATGATGATATGCTTTATGCCTCTTTAAGTAGAGGATTTATACCAAAATGACACTGCAAGCCCTCAAGGTAGTACAAGATATCACCAGAACTATCCACCTTCACCCCATTCACACACTACATCAATGCACAGTCGCATAACAACATAATCAAGAGTACGAGCACAAACCCGACAACTTACACCTAGATATTCGAATACGAGCCCATCTCCGCCTACCTACATACGCACTACCACATTTAGATACACTCTACTACTACTATTCCTAACCTACTAGCTCCACTGCCTGAAATTCGTATTAACTATACTGTTTCCAAGAAAAAGTCCATAGCTAGATAATACACACCCGAACACAACCAGCTAGCAGAAGCACCACTACAAAATGATATATCAGAAGCTTCCAAGGTACCTAACCGTTCTTATTTATAATTACTACGCCGTACTAACTATAGAAAGCGAGAAATAGCCTCATCGAGGCAATATGCATGAGTACCTAATGCCCAACGACACCATGGGATAAGTTATCCGAACTAAACCGAACTGGCCAGGCACAGGCGTCCTCATGTGGGAACACATCCAAGTTTCGAAGAAGATCATGAGTAGAATACCTGGTTCCCTAGGCAGTAGTGCTATAATATAGTATACTAATGGTGATATCTCCCAAGGATTCCTTGATTTCTTGTTTTTTGGCTAGGTTACTAAAGTGCTGTGGCTACTGGATACTAGTGATATATCATATCATATCATATCCTGTGAAATGTCATCCGTAATCACGTCGCCAACGGCGGCAGAACAGAACCCTTAAGTGGCACGAACCGTAACTCAAAGCTTATCCTGTGTGTGATGTATGAAGTAGTAGCAAGCTGTTACTCTATAGAGAAAATCAACATCCGGCTGTTTTCTCCGCCAACCGGGATGCATCCCGACTCGTTATTCCCTGCATATGCAGACGTCGGCAATTGACCGACCGATCGATCGATCAACACCGAATGTGATCTATCAAATCGAACAGCTGAACCGATCAATCCCTGTCCTAGATGGTATCTATCTATCTATCTATCTATCTACCCGTCCGGGGTTCGTCCGAGATGCCAGATCCCGATACCAAACGAATCTAAACTAAACAGGTATACCAAGCTTTTCGGATCTGACCAGTCCAGATCATTTACCAAATACCCAATCCAATCCCTGTTTCATCAAAGCAAAAGAAAAAAAATCTCAGTAAAATGACTTTTTCATTATATTCATGCGCTCGCTCTATGCAATATGCTATAGATGCAATATATGCGATGTCATTAATCCCAAATAGAAGGAAGAAAAAAAACAAAGGAAAAGATCCACTCCAGCCCAATGCACCGAATCACCGAATAATACCCAAGGGGGGAATCAAAAAAAGGAAAAAGGGGGGTAATTATCAGACATGCTCCCTCACTCCTACAGTACGTGACGTCCCTCCCGAGGAAGTCTGCGTCACTTCAAACGTCCGATGGATACCCAGACCCATGCCTAATTCCAAATCAGTCCCCTCGGGGATTGTTCCATGCGTCCGCTCTGCATTCCCCGAGGATCCCGTCAGCCGTTCCTCGCTGCTATTCGATGACCCGCCGCGCCAGAGTCGCGTATCGGGGTCCACCTGGCTCTGGATCGTCGTCACGGTCACGGCCAGTTTGTCCGGCCGGAGACGGTTCTGCACGGCGGCTTCGTCGAGTGAGCCTAGCGGGTAGGGTCGGTCGTGACTGCGTCCCATGCCACCGCTTTTGCCGAGTGGTCGGGAGCCGGAAGGACCGGGGAAAGGGGATGCGTCGTAGTTGTGGTCGGCGCTGGAGCCGAGCCATTTGCGGAGAAGGGGACGGAGGGTGGCGAGACTGCCGGCGGTGATACCGAGGCCGCATTCGATGTTGGACCAGAGGGCGATTTCAACGGTTGCGTCTGGGTTGAGATTAGTAGGAGGGTTTGGTGTGGGGTGTGTTTGGGGAGAGGTTGGGGCAGGCGTACAGAGGAAGTCCCAATCCGCGAAGGTATGTACCCAGGGGATACGGATGATGGTAGCAGAGGAGGCGCTGTTGGAGGTTCGTTAGTTTCATTTCATCGGCTATGCTTCAAAAGCAGCGAGGGGAACATACATGCATGCCATACTCAGAATTCCCACCACGGCCATTTTCGTTTTATGCTTCATATGCAACTTGCGCACAAGGAAGATAGGCAGAATGCCAACGGTAAAGTCGCACAACGCCGCGAACCCACTGTACACGTAGGTCATGGCGATGACGATTTGAATGTCCATGCAGTGGCCGTGAATGTCCGGGTTAAAGGCCTTGCGAGTCCAGAAGTAGGCGAGTGGCTTGCACTGCAGCAACATGATGAACATGAAGACCATGCCAGCAATGACGGTCAAGACCATGACGGTCCAGAGGATCCAGATGTGGAGACGTCGAACAGTAATGCGCATCAAGAAAATGCAGACGGAGATTTTACAGGCAACGGCTGCAAAACAATATGCGATCTCACAAAACCACCAGTACTATATTTGGCCCATGTTAGGTTGAATGTAGTGGAGGTAAGAGGAATAGGAGTTACTGACCTCCATGGCGGTTACACGCTGATGTGCATCCAAGTCTTTGAAGCGTCGTCCAGTACCATAAAGACTGCCTCCAATCATGCAGCCCGAGAACATGGCGTAGAAGCCCTAGACATACTGCTGATTAGAACACCATGGGTTAAAAGAATGTCAATACAGGGATGAGACGTACCATGGCCACCACCATGGCCCAGTCATCCCAGCCGAATGCTCGCACGATCCATCCACGCACATAACATCGTAGTATCACAGTCACACACGCAACCGACATAAAGGCGGCCGCAACCGCCTTGACCTCGAGGCTGCGGTCATCCTTAGCCATGCTACAGACGCAGTCGAGGCATGTTCGAGAAAGCTCAGCTCAGCTCCCGCGGGGTGGGGATGACCCAATATATGAGAAGGCCCGAAATGCCGGGGAGGTCCAGAACCAGTACCGGGACTAGCAAGTAGACACGAAGCTAATCGCGTTGGATCCCAAACGGTGCTGACTTAGTCGGGTCGCAGATGTTCATCCGTCTTCCGCCCAGGAGACGGTGATGGGCTTGTGCGCAATCCTAAAAGAGAAGGCGATCTACGCAGGACAAAACTTGAACCAGGCGAGCTGAGGAGGCTCGCTTAGTTGGACAGTTAGACTGCAGGAAGTGTCAATTTGTTACTACTTTTGCAGATGTTGGACCGTGTCCACGGTCCAGTATAATTGCGGTGGATTCAGGGCTGGCAGGCCGTTGTTGGGTCTTTTTGTGGATGGGAGACGTGAGCGGACACCCTTCGAGTCAGGGCCCGTCTGGGATTGGATTCTGATTTCTTAAGCCTGTTCGCAATTAGTCTGGATTTGGAGGTGGAGGAGATGCTGCTCCAGCCTGTCGGTAGTTTCAGTGCATCACCAGGCGTCGATTGGGTGCGTCGTGCTGTCGATCCACTTCGGTCGGGCTTCAGGCCAGGAAAGGCAGCATCGCCGACGGGCGAGTCAGGGACGGTGCAGAAATTTTATACTCTATCGGGACAGGGGCCGTCCCTACGTCTAACTGTCATGGGCAGGGAGTCCCCGAGTGCGAGGGGGTAGAACCATGGATGGTAAGGAGTTTTAGGTTGTTGGGTTGGCACTTGGGAGTGAATCCAGGGGCTGGGAAGAAGAGGAACCGCGTTGCTTTACCGACGCGTTCCAGCAAAATAAACAAGCATAAAAACAATAAGGAAAACAAAGGCAAACCCCTTCCAACTGTCTACAGAGTAGGAGTAGTCTACTGTCCAAATAATTCAGACATCTTGTGTAGCGAAATCCCCCGCCCCGTCAGAGATTGACAGCCTCACGACTCGAGCAGATCCTCTGCTATTTAGGAAAAACGATGGGCTTCACCGGGTCTCCTTCGCCGGCACGGAAGCCCATCCGGAGGGTGGGGAGTGCCCGCCTCAAGGCACGGATGGCAAACAACAAATAAATGAATGCGAATATGGTGTAATCACTGTAATGGATGAATCTCCGGCCATCAAAAGGAATTGCGACTATTGACTGTCGCTCAGATACAATTCGGCATGCACCAATAGCCGGCTTCTCGAACCGTGTTGAATGCTCCGTGTGGATCCCTTCAGTGTGTTTTTGAGTCTTTGACACTGAGCCATATCGACCGCTCATGCCAGAATCAGTAATCAATTCATTCTGGTCAACTGGATGCCGCCTGCCTTTAGCCCGACGGAATACGGCCCTGATTCCGATTGCAGGATGCAGGATCATCTCAGTGAGCAATCTTACTGCTCCTGCATTGGGCCACCCCCCCTCTTCCTCCTTTTCGTGCAGGTCCCGGGCGGACGGTAGGCTCTTGACATTCTTTTCCCATTTGGAGGAAAGTCGCGGACGCTAAAAGGCCTGGCACAGGAACACTAGACGGATCTAACATGATGGATGGAGCGATTGATAGCGTGCCAGAGCAGCCGACTAGCAGCACACTGCAGACAGCAGGCCCGCATCCCGGAGTGTAATTTAAATTGGCGTTAATTTTAGAAAGAAGTCCCCGAGCTGGCTGATCCCCAGTCAAGGCCATTGTTCCTTCTGGCATGTGAACCCGACCCAAAAGGCATAATGGATAATAGGAAAATAATACCGGGACATATATGGGGACCACACTGCGTGGACCTTCTCACTTACTGGCGGACGTTGGTCCCCGATGAAGGGCAATCCAGTCTGGCCGTTTCACCATCGACATGCCATGAGGTGTCCCAAACGTAATCCTCATCTTACTGACACATCGGAGTGCGTAGGAAAGGCCATCTTGCCACATGGAACCCATTCGTCCGAGCGCGTCCGCAGCACGTGGCGGATTTTCCAAAAAAGAAAAACCAAGACTTGCGATAGATCAGATGCTGGCTGCTATCCGAGTTCCACCGCACACAAAGCAGCCGACCAGCAACAAGCAAACGAAATTAAATCCCAAGTGCTTCATCGCAGCCCCTCGCATGTCCGCGGAAGTTCGACAGCGCACTAAATCAGGGTGTCCCGCAATCTCCGTCGATCGGAAACCGTTTCCAGAAGGGCAAAAGTCCCTCGCAGCTCGCCACACACGCACACACACACACACACACACACACACACACACACAAACAAGCAAAGCCGTCGGTAATGGTGCAGCAGGAACTCCTTCCCCCCTGAAAACCGCCTGTAATATTTGCTTTTTTGATCTTCGTCCCAGTATGCGCCCCGTCTTTATCTCGGCACGTGCAACAGCTAGGGTTGGCGGGATGGCTGGCATTTCCTAGAACATTCCTGATCGGCTACTTAGTGCCTGTCTTGCTTTTTCTGCTTTGGAGACTAGTCTTCCTACTGGCCTGCTTCAAGGGATCCCCGGTAACTAGTCAGGCTAGAACTTTGTATCCCTGCAAGGAGAAGACGGCTAGGAGGAACCCAGTCCGCTTGTATAGGACGGTCAGGAGAACTTCCTGCACCCATTAGCATCCCCTGAAGACGGCTCACTTCGAGAAGCTAGCGACTGTGTGCCGTCGAAGTGCGCATGTCTGCGAGCCAGGTGCTCTGTCAGTCAACTCTCTTCTGAGCGAAGCCCATAACTGTCTCCGAATAACTCACAAGACCCTTTTCGAACCACCCCTCACTGCTTGATGCCCAACAGAGGATTGTTATAATGTCACCCGGATATCCTCTCGACGGGAAAATTGGTGTGCTCAAGTCCAAGTGCCACCTAAACCTGGTTGGTACCAGTTAGTCTACGAACAGTCGGTCTGCCTATGGCCCAGGCTGACCGGAGTGCACCTAGACCGACTAGGTGCAAATCACTGCCAAAGAGACGGCGAAGCTACGAAATAGTGTCCTGGCTCTGTCGGTGCACCTCGAATCTTCCATTCATCCGATTTCAGAAACTGCAGTCTCTTGATATTTGGCGCAATCTGCCGAACAGATCATGTTGCCTAGAGCAGGTGACTGTTCCAGTGGCAGTTGGCGAAATCGACAGGTCATCAGATGTCAGAATAAGATTAAAATTACGACACAGTCCTGCATGCACCTATAACCGACGGCTGTAAACCCAGATTGCTCAACCTACCAATTGGTTCCATCGCATCCAATGGAGGCATGGGTTCATTGCAACTAGGACCTCATTCAGAGTCATCGCACAGCCTCGTGTAAGTTTCGCATGGGCGCGGACAACCACCCTCGGTCGTCGCTGAGTTTCCGGAGTAGATTCATGCCGCGGCGTTGATACTTAAAAGGGAATATTATGCCATCAATCGTATGATTGTTCACCGCTGCTCTACGCACAGGCGTAATAAGCCCCTATCAAGGGATAGCAAAGCTTCTCCTAAACAACGTGTTCCTTTCTCGTCGTAGGGAACACCCTCTTCATCGCTAAGGGCGACTATCGAACATTACCTGAAGATCTTGGCTTATTGCGTAGCACTGGCGTCCGGTATACTGCTCTATGGATATGATCTAGTCATCATGGGAAATGTCTCCGCTATGCTGGAGTTCCAGTAAGCATTGCCTCGAGCTGTGTCTTTGTAGCATTTCTGACTTTACGAGGCGTGATTTTGGCCGTCGATTGAACCGCGCGCTCATCATCCCATCCCTACGGCTGAGCCTATGGGACGTAGCTAGTCCCCTTGGTGGTCTCTTTGGAGCTATAGCCGCAGCGTAGTTACAAGATCGTGCTGGGCGTTGCTTTTGCTTAGCCTTTGCGGCTTTCTTGTCGGCAGCTGCAGTCGCAGTGGCATACGTATCGTGTGTTCCGGATGGTATAGACGCCCGCAGAGCAGTCTTTCTGACGGCAAAGCTTGTGCAAGGTCTTGCTGTTCACATGATCACAGGCACGACGCAGACATACATGTTTGAGATCTTGCCTCCCGTACTGCGAGGCCCCATGCTGGCCTTCTTTCCGATCTTCATCCTCCTGGGTCAGTTGATGGGCAGTGTAGTAGTGTACAAGGCTTTGGATATTGCCGGAAGCCGAGGATATAAGAATTGCTTCATCTCTCAGTGGCCATTCTCTGCATTGCCTCTGGTGGTGCAGCTGTCCTCCCCGAAAGCCCGACGTATCTCATTCGAAAAGATCGAATAAGCGCGGCTCGCAAATCACAGCGACGACTGGATTCCGGCCCTATCGAATCGCATTATCAATCCGAGCAACTACGCTCGTTCATTGAAAAAGAAGATCAAGATGCAGCCAGCAAGGCGACTGGGTACCGTGACTGCTTCACAGGCGTCGACCGCCGGCGTACCATGATCGTTATGTTTGCAAGCCTCATCCCATCGCTTTTTGGTTTGCCCTTCCTATTCCAAGACTAGTTACTTTCTGCAAATAGTCGGCATGAGGCATGAGAGCTTTCTGTTCTCACAAGCTGGCATCGGACTGGGGTTGGCAGCTAACCTAGTCAGCATGCAGACACTGTGTAATTATGGCCGTGTGCCTCTGCTTATTGTCAGATTAAGCGTCCCGACGCTCGTCTGGATGAGCATAAGGGCTGCCGGCTGTTTCCTGGGAACTACTAGCGCCTGGTAAGTTGTCTGGAATGGATATGCGAAAACAAGGCCAATGGTCGTTCAGGTACACGGGGATCACACTAGTGACGGTAATCACGACCTGCGGTATTGGTGTATGGCCAACATCCTACGCTGTCGGTGGAGAAGCATCCTCTCTGCGGCTTCGTGCCAAGTCCCAAGCTGTGGGCTGATTCGTTACCGGACTGTTCAGCGTCGTTTTCAACCTTATCTTGCCGTATATCTTCAACCCCGACCAGGGGGGCCCTACACGGTAAGACCGGCTTTGTATGTGCGGGCTTCTCGGCCATTGCCCTCGTGGGAACATGGTTTTACCTGTCAAAGATGAAAGACCGGACGCCCAGCGAGATTGACGATATGTTTGAAGCAGCTGTACCTGCAGTCCTGCACGGCAGTTCAGAAAGTGGTCCCCACTGCTTGCTGATCCACTTTCTTCGGATCGTTCCCCACAAGCACGACTAGCCGACGCATGCGACCAATCCACCGGCGCGTCAGGCGGAAACGAAATTTGTTCATACCGAGCTGTTCCTGGGTGAGTATCTTTTGGGAGCAGATCGACAGAAAGCCCAGCCGATGGTTCTGTTTCTCGGCTCTAGCCAGAATGCACGGTCGAAGACAGCCATAGAAAGAAACTTGCCAAGCCATGACATCTTGTAGTACAGTAGTTCTAGAGGTCGTAGAACGGTTTGAAAGCC